GGAAGAGCAGAGTGAGAGAGAATGTCTTGAAACTATGCAGACACTGTTCAGCAATAGCTAAAATATTGGCATGTTAGCAACAGTATTTTGGTCACAAATCCAAAACATAGTACCATAAGGGTTTCTATAAAGCAAATAAACTCAAACGTAGCCAGACCCAGTACAAAGACTTATATATGACTGCAGTAATAATAAAAATCACAGAATAACTGTGCTAAGAGCCATATGAAGCTAAAAAGAAAAACTCCATCCTCATTTAAAATAAATTTTTAACTGCCATTATTTTAGACGAAGACTCTTCAATTCAATCCAGACTACTAAGAAAATGTTCAAAATGCAGAAAATTGGAGTATTCTTCTTTGGAAATAATTTTGATATACAAACATAAAAATATATAATTTGGATTTCTTCTACCTTGGAGATGATTTCCCCGTGAAGATTCAAAAAGTTTTCTAAACATAATGGTGAAAAGGGAAAACGTGGTGTTTATCCACAAGTTGCGTGATGCATTGGAGCAACTAGCTAAATAGAAAGACTGCACACTATATTTGAGCATGTTTACCAAATAACACATTTAAAGCAAATGTATTCCCAGACATGAACAAACCTCTTGGAACAACAGTGTTAGGTACAGATCTAAGGTCTTATTTTATCAGTCATGCAACAGAGTTTTTAAGCCTTTTAATAAGGCTTTTCTAACATGTTTTCTATCAAGAGATTATGAATAAAAGCATTAAATTCTGCTTTCTTTATCATGCATTGTCCACATGCTTTGCAATAAGAGAACAAAGTTGTCAAGGGTGGAAAGAAAAGACCTACACAACGAGCTATACATACAGAACAAGAACACACTCTTAGTTTCTCTTTTGGCGGGTTCCTCCCCCTGAGGCAGTATGTGGGGTTACAGTCATGCTGGCCTGTAGACCTAACATAACAGCAGGCTAAACAGAATGGTTTTGAAAATCATCAGGCCCCTTGGTTCTTTTTACTAACTCTGAAGTCAATACTACAAATAACATTTGTAAATGACTGGAAACTATTCACAATATTAATCAAAGAGGTAGCTGCTTTTGAAGGTGATGAGTGAAGCTCTGTAACACAAAACAACAAATGCTTGTGTATGTAGCTTCACTCTAACGACTGATGAACATAGACAGGAGATAGCATATGGGAGAGAGAAGGAAGAAAAGGCTCCCTTGTTCAGAAACATCGGCCTATTACAACAAGCTAGTGGTAAAATAAAAGCATTTGACTACAATTTTCTGGGCAGGAACCAAAAAGGCAGTGTTTTTTGGCTGCCTTTTTGGTTTTTAGTTGTGGTTTTTTTGTGCTTATTTGTTATTTGTTTTGGGTTTTTTTAACACTTCCCATATAAATAACCAACACATCACATTGCCTGTTTCCAAAGCAAAATCAAGAGTACTTTCAAATACTTTCTCACAGGACAATTTCCATCACCAATAAAATCTTCAAATGCCTTCAGAGGTTGAGAGCAAAATGCAGTTTACTAGATAGCACATTCCGAGTAATACACATAAAAATAGGGTTCTAGCCACTTCATTTGCAAGTGAGATTCTAAGATGGCCATTAATGTCTGCATACACAACTCTTGGGAGTAAAAAATCCAGAAGAAAATATTTTATTGAATGGTAAGTAGAGTGGAGAATACTAGTTTTGAACTCAAATCTTCTTTAAGATCTCTGCAGTAAAAATCCCACAAGAATTCAAGAAACTCCCAAAATATTTCCATGCTCCATTCAAAAATATATATACTAGAAAGCAGCAGCTCAGAAGACTGCAGCTTGGATGGGGTAAAGGACATACAATAAGGCTAAATAACAATACAGTTACACACTTCTAAGGTTTACACACAGTGACCCTCAAAGTTGAGGAAGCTACTGACGTATCAAACTATTTTGACTAAGACTTCTGTTTTTACAGTTCCACTGAAACCATTACTGAGACTGAGTCATTCAACTTCCTTAGAGATAGAGAAATGCTCTTCTCTGCTAATTTAATTTGCCTTTGTGCAACAAGATCAGGACATGGCGATAGAGTCGCATCAAATCATGTGACTAAATTAGATTACAAGTTGCCGGAAAAAGAAAGCTCTTTTGAAAAAAAAAAAAAACCAAACAGTGCACTTAGCATTATCACATTTTATGGAGCACAGTCTACTTACTTCACTGATCATATTGTAAAATTATTTCATCATCTATTCTTGCATTCTATATGTGATTTACAGGAAGAAGATGTTGTCCTCTGTCCTTCGACAGTAACCACACAGTTGGTGGCAACATATTTAAACTAACTTTTTTCTAACACAAAGATTAACCAAAAGAATTGCTTCTTCAACATCTGGGAAATTTAATTTTCAAAAGGAATATAAAACCAGTGCATAAAATTCACAATCTGAGCAGTTGTACATAGAAGACTGATGCAATTACCTGTAACATCAGCTCACAGTCATCTCTTCCAACAAAAATCATTTCTCGTGGCAGCCTATGGCGGGTGCCTCCACTGCTCACCAAAAACCAGGATGTTAAGCTCATTTTCTGCTTAGCTGATAAATCCTTGGCAAAGCTACGTCATCCTGCAGAGAGAAAGAAAGAGAGACAGAGAAATTCGTTTTAGTTATTTTTAGCTACAGTTCCTTCTCAGCAAACACTGTGAGCAGAATACAAAAAGCCTCTGAAAATACAGCATTTTCAAAAGCATGTACTGAATCCAGCAACCACAGGAAGTGACAGGCTCTGGATTTACATACTCTGAGGTTCTGCTTCATGCAACTTTGGCAAATTTAATTGGAGGTAACCTTCTTCAAAATGAACAAGCAGCTAGTTAATGCCAAAGTCATATGTCAAGTTGTCAGAAAGCTTTTAACATTTGACCGCTTATTATCAAGATAATTGCTACATTAATACTTCTCTATCACAACCAATAAACAACATGGCAAATGTTCACAAAATACAGAAAGTTGTGTATGTGTCATTACACTTTCCTGTGTATAAGAACTACGTATTTGGTTTTAAGCTCAGGTTCTTTGAACAGCACCAAGAGAAAGCTTAAAGGAAGTTTTGCTTCTTATTTAACCTTAAGTTTTCCCAGTAATACTTACAATGGAAATTTAACATCATATATTTAGAGCTCTAAAAGTAGAACAAAAGGAAAAATTTAGATAAGTAATATTTTACAGAGAAAAAAATAGCTATTTAAGATGTCATAAAATACAAAAGAAAACAAAACTTGAAAACTAGACACAATTTTTTATGGAAAACTTCTTCACATAACACAGCCTACTTGAAACTGGACAAAAATATTATTAAAAGCACTCTCCAGAGTAATTCAATGGTTGATACTTGGAAAAGCCTTTAATAAGTATTCCAAATCTCTCTAAGAAAAAGAAAGACAAAGTGATCGTTTCATTCCTTTGCTACCACTCTGTATTCTCCAAAGAGAAGCTAAAGAAAAGAAAAAGCAACCAGTCTGCATTCCTCTCTGGCCCAAAGAGCTTGCATTTCTCTTCTCTCTTATTTCTATGTCACTTGGTGAAATCATGCAAGGGTAGCAAAGGTACTGTTTGGAGGCATAAGCCTGTTGCAGACTCGAGTATAACCTGCATATAACAAGAATGCAGCAAACTTCTCAAACCCAAGGCTAACAGGTAAGCGCTGAGTAATGGCATGGCAGTGCCAGCACTGCCCCATTAGACAAACTGCAATCCAGGAGAGACACTACGAATGACAAACACATGTAGAGGACTAAGGTAAGTCAAAACTGCATTTGAAAATGACAAAACAGACATTTGCAAAGCATTAAGTCAAAAGCATACTATGGCAGGTGCTGAAATGAACCATCAGAGCTGTCAAGCCACTTAAAGAAAATTAATGCAATTCAAATGGAAGAAAGTATAAAGATTTAATGTGCTAAAGACTTACTTCATAAAAAAGTAAATGTGTTGCAACAAAGTGTTTGCCTATGCAGTCATATCTACAATAGGTTTAACTTTCTGCAGCTGTATCACGGTATTCTTCAAAAGAAATTTATGTCCACAACATTCTCCAACTCAAAGGAGAAGTGATACAGCATTTCTAGTATATTTTACACTTTATTCATAAATATGAAGATTACAAAATACATCTACTACAACAACTTACAGAAATAAAATTTAAGAGACACCTAGTTACCACATAAGCATTTTAATAATTAAGAGTTTATTCAGCACCTTAGAAGGAAATTAACATTTGTATTTTTAATTTAACCTTGTTTAAAGCTAGAAGATAAACTAAGTTAACCAAATTACATTTTTCCATTCCTTTACAAAAGGAAAAGGAAATGTCAAAAATGGCCAGCCTAGGTTCCAGATTTTTAACAAGCAAATGAAATTAATGTTTCACAGCAAGCATGCTGTTTAGTTTCAAAGTTCCTCATTCTATTTATATTTTACTGCCTTTTAAATCTCCCATCTGCTTAGCATAAACATATCTACAACATTTGGCCTTCCTGGTCTAATTGGAAATGCATACGAAAACCTCCAAGAGGATATAAACTATTAGAAAAAATTCTTAATCATATACTATGTTTCAGTTTACATAGACACACTGTCATACACGAAAAATACTATTTTTATTTATAGACTCATTTAGGCTGGAAAAGACTCAAGATCATTGAGTCCAGCTGTTAACCCAGCACTGCCAAGTCCACCACTAAACCAACTGCCTAAGCACCACATCTACACATCTTTTAAATATCTTCAGGGATGGCGACTCCAGCACTTCCCTGGGCTGCCAGTTCCAATGCTTCAGAACCCTTTCAGGCAAGAATTTTTTATAATATCCCACCTAAACCTCCACTGGCAGAACATGAGGCCATTTTCTCTTCTCACATCACTTGTTACTTGGGAGAATAGACCGACCCCATCTTGCTACAGCCTCCTTTCAGGTAGAGTGATAAGGTCTCCCCTGAGCCTCCTTCTCTCCAGGCTAAACAATCCCAGTTCCCTCAGCTGATCCGCACAAGACTTGTGCTCTAGACCCTTCACCAGCTTCACTGCCCTTCTCTGGACCTGCTCCAACACCTCATTGTCCTTCTTGTAGTGAAGGGCTCAAAACTGAGCACTGTATTTGAGATGTGACCTCACCAGTGCAAAGTACAGGGGCACAATCACTTCCCTAGCTCTGCTGGCAGCACTAATTTTAAAAGAGGCCAGGATGCCGTCGGCCTTCTTGCCCACCTGGGCACACTGCTGGCTCATGTTCAGCCAGTTGTCGACCAGTACCCCCAGATCCTTTTCTGCCAGGCAGCTTTTCAGCCACTCCTCCCCAAGCCTGTAGTGTTGGCATGGCATTGATGCAACCCCACAGACAAGTAGGTCAACAACTAAAGCTAGAAGAAAAAAACCCCTGAAAGTCCCCCAAATGACAAAGCCTGACAACAAACAGATTAAATTAAGCTATCTGAAATAATTTTGAAAAATGTATTGTACAGAGCAATCATTGCCACAGAGCCTGGCAGCACATTTGTAGTTAAAAGCCCATCACCACTTCTACTGAACTTAATAACAATGTTAGCTTCAAATGGTGCTCTCTTAACTGTGACGAATCATCAACCTAGATACATATTTTAAGTATGCTTTAGAATAAACCAATGCCTTTGATCAAAGCTATGCTGAAATTCTGTATAGCAAAACTGTCTGAAAACAGGATACAGTTGCAACAGTTAATGTCAGAACAAAAAAGTGACTAAAAACTTGATAAGAAACTGAACACTTATTAGTCTTACAGATAGGACAATTGCATTGCACCCCAAAAACCTAATTAAAACTAACAATATTTTTAACACACTGCTGTTATGTCCTGTGGCTGTAGTATTCTGAACAATACAAGGATGAAAGACCATTCACTGTCTAGAAGACACCAAATTAAATTACTGTATGACAGGTGAAAAATCGTCATTAGAAGTGGCTCTTTACCCATTGTAAATTTAGGTCATGATAATTCTTGCAGTGGAATCTTATGTATTATAAAAGGTCACACTGGGTTCAAAAAGCACTACGTATTCATTGAAGAAAAAAATATCCCACCTGTTAAATGCAGTGACCCCACATTTAACTCAGGAACTGTATGCACTGTGCAATTAGAGAGGCTGGGAGCGTGCTCTAATGAGGTTTTACTTGCTATCTTTCAAGACCATTTCTCTTCCTTACCCAGCCTTTGTTTATGCAGGACAAGGTACTGGCCCAGGTGGACCTGTCTTACTATTAATTACTAATTACTTTTTAGATTAAGTATTTACCCAAAACATTATTATTTCTACTGTAGAAAAATTAATTTAAAATTGAAGCCTTTTTTTTTTTTATTAGTCTTTCCTAATATGGCAGTGCTGTGTTGCAATCTTTAAACAAACTAGTAAACATTTAATCCTTAAGACTTGATCATTCAAAGCAATACTCCATTCTAGATACCTGGAAGTCAGTTGCTACATATACTGTAACTGCAGAGTATTTCTTTGTCTGCAGAAGAAACAGCATTTTATAGCTAATCAGTACGAATTTCAAAAGGCATTAACCAGTGAGTAAGAATGAACACATGGGTAAGTCATTTGAAACAGATGAGGCAGCGACAGGGAAACTGGCTGCATCATCCTGTAAACATAACTCAGTCCTAAGAACTGAAGCCCTACATTATGTAGCCAAAAGATGGGTGTAACCAATTTCAAGTATGTCTAGAGAAACACTGCCAATATTATAGTTTTGATACAGTAATGTTATTAGAAGCAAAAACCTTAATAATCTTGCATTTGAGCAATTTACAGTCTACAGTTTTTATTTGCCTGTAACTGAGAACAGCCAGTTGTTTTCTCAAACTATTAGCAAGCACTGAGACATCAACTGGACATAGAAACAAAAAACTATGTTTAAAAATTAAACTATTCCTTGAAATTCCAAGTTTTAAGCACCACAGTCCTCCATACTAAGACTGAAAATAATACAGTTTTAGTGGCACACAATTATCCTATTAATGTATAGCTTCAGAATATTTTAAAATAAGATTAACAAAACCCTTCATTGAGCTGAGACACAATATTAACAAAGCTGGAATCTCTCTGTTTACCTCATACACGCAAGTTGGTAACTGTAGTGTGAAGGAAGACCTTAGTATCAGTTTGTACCTTTCCATGTTGCTCTTGTGCAGATCTATCCAAAGGTAGACAAGCGATAGGCTTTTGAAAACTTTCCATGTGTAGATTAGTTCAATGAGAACACAGATTCTCTCAAGACATCTATCTGCACAAGGCATGCTACACAGTTTGCTTTAACTACCCATTCTTAATGTTATAGTGCCAGTTAGAACCAAAAGTAGGACATCTTTCCCCAGTACTCTTAATTTGTCCACTGTTGCTGTTAGAGAACAAACATGATGAATGTTCTCTCCAGGAGAGATCACCACTACATGCGGACAAGGCACTCGACCTGTAGCTAGGCAGACTCTGGAATGAGGAATCAAGAAAGGTAAACAGCAGGTGTAAACTATGACAATGGTGAAATCGGAATTAAGAGAGCACTAAGGGAGCCCATAATGACTGCAG